GATACAAATATGAATATTCAGAATTTAGTAATTTTAGATCAGAATTGCGTGTGGCTTACTCATGCTGTAGCGCCTTGAAGTTTTTGATGGGCGCTGTGATACGGGTCTCCAGCTGATAGCACCAGCGTATGAAGGCCGCCACCGAGGGACAATTGTAGTCGGGATATAGAGTATCGCCGCTGCGTCTTAGCTCCATTTGCTTGTCAAAAATATTCTCACAGACTGTCATCTCATCATCGAGCATACGAACTATTTCCGCATAGCGTTGTGTGAATTCCTCTTTGATTTTCGGACGATCCAAGACGCTACCCACGATGCTTATAAGCTGTGTTATGAGAGCAACACTTCAGTTGTATCGCTCTCAATTGATTGGTGCACTCTCACCTTAAAGATACTCTCTAGATTGTGGCAATCGTCGAATGCCTGACATAGTATGGCGGCCAGCTTCATGTCTAGCTCCAGAATACGCGTTTGGAAGCCCTTAAAGTCCTCATCGAACTCATGATCATCCGGATCAAGGACATCGTAGCTTTTCGATGCAAATGCCGTGAAATATTGATTGAACTCCACATAGACATCGGTTATCCTGGTACTCAGCTGGCGTCCGCGCAGTCCACCGATTTCGACTTTCTCTAATTTCAGGAATTCAATCACAGTAAAGAAGAACCTGCAGAATGCATCTTTAGAAATCAAATAAACACTGAAAATGGCCGTCGATAGTAAATACCATTGAATTGTTGTTAAACGCTCCAGGAAAGCATTAAAGCGCTTGAAAACTGAATTTGGATGAAAAGTCCACAAAATCGGTGGCCGCTCCTCAGGCTCCGTAAAGAAGGCGGCCAAGCGATCCTTGTAATAGTCAAAGAGCTCCCGAAAGAATTTTAATATTTGTATAGAGAGTGTCAGGCGCTGCATGGCCTCATCTATGTCGCTGTGAAATATAGACGAAGGATCCAAATAACGCTTAGCCTGGAATAGGAAAACAGTCATTAGAATCAATATATGTGTACATATAGTATATAGTATATAGACTGCCCAAACTGATTTATAAACGGTTTGAAAGTCTGACTGACACACTAACTGATTGATTGACTGACTAGCTGATTGACTGAATTTCTATCGAACTAGCTGATTGATTTGATACTTAACTAACTGACTAACTTATCCGACTATACACATTCAATAGCTAATTAATAACTGCTACTCATATTATATATGCACAGCTACATACCTGATGTATAATCAAATTGCATATCTCCTGCAAGAGTACTGTTATTTTCGCAGATTGGCAATAGTAGCGTGAGTTGCCCCACAGCGTGCACACTGTATGCATAAAGGGTATGAGCAGAGGCTTGAATTCGGCAAAATCTATTTCCTCCAGCTGATGCAGCGGACGTTTCAATGGGTTCAAATAGAGCGTTATATCCTTTGCCTCGGCAAGTGCTGCGATGGTTCAATCAAATTGAAAACAGTTTGTTGGCATGCAAAGGCCAACAGCTGGCATGTGGTTGGGCCATTAAATTGACTGCACTCACCCGTGACAACGTTTTTGAAGAGCGTCTGAAAGCACGGATGGTAAGCACTCAGCGAGTATTCCAATATTAGGGCCATGGCTCGTATACGCTCGTTGCGCAATTGGTCATAGATAAAGGATAGATTCTTAAGCCGATTGTTCCAAAATGTGAATTCTATCAGCAAGTCAATCAAGCAAATCGAAAGGTTTGATCAGTGTATTATTATAAAAAGATTTATTGAAATTTGAGTATGGTAAAAGAAAATAAAAGTAAATAAACTTGATATTCACTAGATAAACAAATATTAAATAGAATAAATTCCAAAAATTAAAGCAGAAAACAAGCAGAAACTTTTGTGCTCATCCATTAATTGAGAGCAGTTTCCCGCTTGCAGCTGCCTTTGGAATACTAAAAATCGCATCATTTTTAGGCTATATCCACTTGGAGCTTCATCTAAGCTTAAGGGAGCTCTTTTTAGATATCCAAACATTAAGCGAAAAAACGGTCAACTTATAATGAAAAGCTCCAAAAAGTAATTTCGCAGCTGGTAATTGTTGTTTTGACAAAAGCCAATGTTGCATGTCGCCGTTCGTCAAGCAGATAATAAAAGCAAGTTTTGAAGACATTTTTACCTATATGACAGGTAGACAGGCAGGTGCGCGAGCAATAAACATGCAAATTTGGCCAATGCCGGCACGTTGCTAGGATATATCAAAACAAACGTCAACTGCAAAACTTGAATTTTATCAATAAATAATAAATAAAGTTGTGCCAAAAATAACAGCAACAAAATAATATATGCATGTATGACTTATATATAACTGGTTAGGAGACCTACCTGTGTGCGGCGTGGGATTCTGGCCATTGGCAAAGGCATTCGTTGGACTCTCCTTGATGACTTCGTGTATCTGAGTCGCCCACTTGATGACCACGCCCTCAATGGCGCTCTTTAGATATAGATCGAATTGGCAATGTTGCGTTTCCGTCAGCTCCTTGGCGGCTTTGACTATCTTCTCAACGCCCACGGGCATGGCCAGTATGGTTTCACCACTCACCTGGCCCTTGACCTGATGCACGGTGCTCTTTAAGCTGTGCACATGCTTTTGCACATCTTGTGCCACCATAATGGGCCAGCTTCTATAGTTATCCTCATTGGAGAGCAATGGCACAAGCACCTCCTCGACCAGAGCGGACAGCTGGTCAATTGTGCGCGTGGCCAGGTCACCAGAGATGATGAAATTTCCACAATTCTCACGGGGTATGGGCTGGGCATACCGCTTGATGAAATAGACTCCTTTGCTCTTTAGCTGCGATAGTGGAAACGTGGTGGAGGGCACCAGCTGCGCAGCGGGCGTTAATATAATAATTAGCACTACAGGTGTATTCCGATCTAAGAACTCTTTAATTATGCCCTTGTGCTCCTCCACCGTGATGACACGCGTCCATTTCTCTGGCTTCAATTTGAGAGATTTGATGACAAACGAGCCCATCAACTCCAAACGTGGATCCGGCCCACCGGCTGCAGCGGCAGCGGCTGCCTCAGCGCTAGTGGAGGGCTGCTCCATCAAAGGGGCCCTCCAGCTGTTTGTTTACTGTTGTTAACACAGATGTTGTTGCTTGTTGTGCCTGTATGTGAGCGCGTGTGTGTTAGTGTTTGAGTGACCTTGTTACCAGTAACAACTATATAATCAATACATATCCTCTAAAATCAATATTCTTACTAAAATTATGAAAAATCTGCAAAGCGTGTCGGCAAAATACTTTAAAAACCATAAAAACTTGTGAAATTTATAGATTTTGTGAGTTTTTTCCAAATTATACAACACTTTTTTAACTGTTATGTAACTGTAGCTAAAAAATCACAAAATTCAATATATCTTTGCTTTCGCATAGTAAATATTATATTTTATAATCGTGTTATAATAATAACTTTTTATCTGACACTTTAAATTTTTAACTTAAATTTTCCTATTAATTCTTAATTTTTACTTTTTTCCTATCAATATTTTGCCTTAAGTTTTATTTCCGCTCTGCGACTGCTCACCTGCGCTACCGTTAGCTGACTGAAAGGAAGTGTTTCAACGACACTGCAGGCCTGTTAGGGAAAGTGATCGTGGCAGCACCCGGTTGCCAGGCAGTTGTTGATTTTGCCATTTGAACCTTGTTGATTTCCCCTGTGCTATAATATATGGTTGCCAGCCACGTTGCCAAGCTTACTTCCGGCCAATTGTTGCGCCGCCATTTTATGTTTCCATTGCACGCGAAAGTTTTGACGTCTTGGCACATTGCCAAATAAAGTTGGCTTTTTGCAGCCAATCTGGCAATTGATTAGGCACCTATTCAATTATTTATAACCAACTGAAAACAGAAAATGAGTAGTGAAGTGTGAAGGCAGAACTTTGCATCCTTTCGACCTTTTAGCCTTTCATTTCTACTTATATGAAGTCATAGGGTTGCTAAAACTCTTATTAATGAACACATTCTTAATATTATACAGATCCATTCTCTCAATAAAAAGCTCTGTGTGAATATACCGCTTTCCCTGCAATCCGAGTCACAATTTATCTATTACTGCATCGTTATTCAATTCAGATTGAGTGCAACTAGTCCGCAACGTTAACAATCGAACTACAATATATCGATGACATATTCTGATTGGCATGCAATTGAATGTACTCGTTTCCATGACATAAAAGTATCGGAGGCGCAATTTAATTGCTCAATACACATAAATAATAAACAAATGCAAATACGAACAGATACTGTAAATCGTGTGTTTGTTTATATTATCTGTTCGTATTTGCATTGTTTTATTATTATATTTAACTCTGAAAAAACTTGACAAATCCATTTAAGCCTAATTATAGCAGCTTGTCAGCTGTAATTGGCTAAGCTGTTAGATTTGTTGCATGCCACAGTGTCGGCAAGCCGTCACAAAACTAAGCCACAAAATACTTAGGATCTGAAAACAAACCGTATTGGAGAATGTGTGGCAGTCACGCCAAAAACTGTTGCATATGTGCAACAAATGTGGAGTGCCCGAAACAAGTCCCACTCTCAACAATTTCCCCTCCACATTTCAAGTTTATAGCAGATTTGAAGCGCAGGCGTCAACCATTGTAAACAAACGAAATAACTGTTGCGCCCGGCGCAACAATGTTGCCAAGCCGGCCTTCGCAACATTGTTGAGCAAGCAACAGTTTCTTGCATGACTTCCGTATGAAAAACTTTTGCTATTTCTATTTCTATTTTGGTTTTTTTTGCTCGAAGACAATTACGACTATTGATTGACCTAGGCCTAGGTGCAGCAACGGTTCGTTCAACCTGTTCGGTTGCTAGGAAAACCAGTTGCTCGCTCGTAATAAATATTAAAGCCAAATTATTGCCGGCAAACCGCAAACTTGCAAACCAGCTCATTGAAGCTGAAAAGTGATTTACATTTATAAACGTGACTTTGGCTAACTCTGGCCCAACACTTCTCGCACAATGTTACAGCTGGCATTGATGCTGCTGCTGAGTACCGCATCGGCAATTGTTGTTGAACGCAACATGTTTGCGTACTATAAGGTGCCTTTGCGACTGCTCGACTTGGCCAAGCGGCATGAAAACGATTCCTCGACTGCCGGCCTCTACTATGTACTACAGTGCCCGCCCAAGCTGGACGACATCATACCCAAGCCCAGGGACATGCAGACCTGCCATGTGGTGGACCACTACAGAGATATGTCCCGACACTCCAGATACAAAACGAAAAAGCTTCGTCCTGCTCGTACTTACCTCATGCCACTGCCGCCAACAACCGTTAAACGTATGCGCTGGGGCTGGCGCCAGCGGCGCAGCAAACGACACAACCAAGCCACAGCGCCAACAGAGGATCAGGCTACACCACTGCAATATCTGGGGCAGTCTCATAGCCGCCAAAAGCTGCTCAAATTGGCCGCGGATCATAGGAAATTCAAGCGGGGCAATAGCTCCAAGGGCTACCAGCACATGTACCATCGCGATGAGGTCTACAACGATCACATCTTCTACGATGAGCTCCACTCGGATGGCCAGTTCCACAATCAAGGCCAAACTGAAATTGGAAACTAAGTGACAGAACTTTTCAATCGATCATAAGGGCAGGACTTACGCCCTTCCAAAATATCCTGCATCGGAAATCCAGTATAAACTTAAGCCTTAAACCTCAACTTTATTCTCTAGCTACAGCTATTGATCTGTTATTGTAAAAGAATAAAATGTATTCTTCAAGAACTAAAATATATCATAAATTAAAACTAAAACTCATTTAAAACAAAACTAAAGCTAACCACAATACCTCCTCTATCTACAGAGCAGAGTATAAATGAGAGTGAAATCCATTGAAATGAACGGCATCCTCTATTACATAACTATGATATAATACTCTATTATATGCACGATTCAATTATGCTTCGTCTGGCAGAAACAGATCGTCGTAGGCCACATTATCGAAGACCTTTTTCAGTATTGACATGAGGCACAGCTCAAAGGTTTTCAGCATACCCGGCTCAAGGTCCTGCCAAAACTCTAGCCAATTTTCATTGATAATGTTGTTAAGCGCAATTGTAAGATCAGTATTTTCCTTATATAATGAATCAAGCCAAGTTACCCAACTAAAAAACAAAAAAAAGAGAAATGTTTATATATATAGTCTATAATCTTATCCAATATTATTTTATCGTCTTACCGCTGCAGTTCCACTTTGGGTTTTAGTTCATAGATGCGCAAGTATCGCTTGTTATTGCGGTATTCCTGTATACCCTTTATCCTCATTTTTAAGCGAAAGTTCAAAAATTCGGATCGAAAATTTCCCGTTGCATTTGCCACAAACAACAAAACACGAGACTGCATATTGTAAATTCCCTTATGGATAAGTCTTGGTATATGCGCTTTGATTATCATGCTGCTCTTGCTCGGATCCTTGTTGAAGCCCTTGACACGAGTAATAGTTGCATTGTTGAAGCCCTTATTTTTTAAGTTTTTTATGTGGAAGGATAACCAAACTGGATCACTTTTAGAGCCGTCCACAATCGAGATATCCTGCAGCCTGGTGACATCCAATGGGGCCAAACCAATCTCCGAAATACCGTTCGGATAGTGTCCAATCAAATCGTTGATGGTATTCATAAGGCATACGGAGTCACCAAAGTGACATTTCTTGATATCGCAAGCTGCAAATATATATCTATAGTTAAACTAAACTGAACTATACAATCGATGCAACATCTTGAATACGCACGCAGCTCGTTCCCAACTGAAGCTTTATATAGCATTAACAGTACGAAAGACAATAAGGAAAACGTATACATCTCCTATTCAAATACGCTGAAAGTTGCTATAAATACTATTTAATACTATATACATATATATATATATATATACATATATTTTTAACCTGTTACAATTATTTACAGACACGACACGATTTCACTTAGAACCTGCTTTAGCCAATGCTCAATTGTAAATAATGTCGAGAAATCAGCTCGGGTTAGGTTTATAGCTAACGATATGGAAAACCGGATTGCTTACTTAATATATGTATATAATTTAAATAAACTATAAGTATATATTTCCTGTTGCATCAATACACGCTTTCACAGCAAATCTAAAAATGAACTTAGCTTAATTATTTCATTCAGTCTCATCCTTCATCCTTGAGGAACATGTCATCGTAGGATATTTTCTGAAACGTATCTTCAATCATGCTCGTAAATACACTGCTAAAAATGGTCAGAAATGCCGGTTCCAGTTCATTCCAGAACTCCAACCAGTTCGTATTGAGCAGCTCATTGATTGCAATGGTTAGATCCATGTTCTCTGGAAATAGATTATCTAGCCACACAATCCAGCTGTCAAATTGATTTTAATATAGTTCTGATAAATATATAAACACATGTACGAGGGTGGTCTTACGGACTAGCAAAATTTCTATTTATATGAACCTTAACAGAATTTGTATTTTCCCATCTTCCATCTTTAGACCACCCTCGCATATGTGGAACTGTCGCAAACTCACCGACTTATATTGACAATTGGCACGAGCTCATAGATTTTCAGATAGCGCTTATTATTTCGATATTCTGGTATGACTTTCAGCTTTAAGATGAATCGCAAGTTCTGAAAATCCGATGTTGATTCACCTGTCGCATTTAGGGCTATCATCCAAACCCGCCCATTGGCCACATAGTTGCCCTTGTGAATAAGACTTGGTATCTGTCCATGTATTTCCATGGTGCTGGCTGTTGGATCCTTGCCAAATCCTTTGATTCGCTTTACTGTCGTGTTCTCGAAACCATAATTCACTTGATTGGATAGCTTAAATTGAAACCACACCCCACCAATTTGTGCATTATTCCAAACATTCGAATCCTTAATGTTAACAACATCGATGGGATTCATGCCGATTGCAGATAGACCGCGTGAATATCGTCTTATCACTGCATTCATCGATCCAACAATGCATTTCGAATCGCCAAAATGACATTTCTTTATATTGCTTGCTACGCGAATTCAGATAAAGAATAAGAATCACTATATTATATAGATGTTTGGTGTTTATAGGAACACAATTGTATTTCGAGTACCCACGTAATGTTTGACACTTGATCGCGATCAACAGATGGAGTCCGATCACAATAAGAAATGATTTACTCATGTCTCGGATATATATATATATATTTATATATATATATGTATAACCTATGTTTTGAAGAGTATAATCCACTTGCGTTTGCCTCAGCGTTTGAACATTGAATAAAATCGAATGCCTTTTCCAGCACAACATATATAAGCTCAGCAAATCGAAACGGAATTCTCAGTTTTGTAAACCGGTTTATTGTAAGAAATAAAACAAAAAGAAGGAATTAAACTAAGTTCCGTATATGAATTCAAGTATTCATATAATTAGTGGAGAGTATGCGATGTTGAGTTTTGAAATGTCATTTGATATTAAATGCAACAACTAATTTTCTATGTTAATATATTACTAATTCCAAGACATCGTATCGATTATATTTGGTATGGCTGAGTAATCAAACTAACTAAACTTTCAATTCACATTTATATTATTCGACAGAAACATATCATCGTATGAAACATTATGAAATATATCTTCGATGATGCTTAAAAAGACACCTGTGAATACTTCCAATATGGGCTTTTCCAATTCATTCCAAAACTCAACCCAATTTGCATTGAAGATTCTATTGATAGCAATGCTTAAGTCTGTGTTTTCTGGGAAAAAGTTTTCCAACCATTGTATCCAGCTGCAAGTCGGAAAATGTACAAATAGTTTTCTTCCCAAGCTTCAAACCGGTTACGAACCGATTTACTTACCGATCCACATAGACATTGGGCACCAGTTGATAGATCTTCAGATACCGCTTACCACTACGATATTCCGTTTGCACTTTTAGCGTGAAATCGAAACGAAAGTTTAGGAATTCCGATTCGGATTCGCCCGTTGTATTGATTTGTACCATCCACAGTAGTCGGCCCATGGCGTTATAGAAGCCTTTATATATCAATCTGGGTATTTGTCCTTTAACAATTATTTTCGATGATGTGGGATCTTCGTCGAAGCCCTTGATGTCCGTTATAGTAGTGTTCTCGAAGCCGTAATTAATCTGATTGAAGAGCTCGAAAAAATACCAAAGTACACCCTGTTGTTGATCATTGATGAGCACCGTATCCTTCACATGGACCACATCCAAGGGCTTCAAGCCCACCGAGGGTATGCCCTTTGGAAAATTGCGTATCAGAGCATTTGCAGTATCCCTAATGCAGGTGGTATTACCAAAGTGACACTTCTTGATATGCTGAGCTGTGAGTTACAAAGAGGAAATCACCAGTAAGTAGCTCAGTCAATCCGTTAATTCGACTATATTTTTTAGCTACCTACGTAATATTGCGCACTCCGAACCGAGAATTAGCTGCACCCCCACCAACACTATCAAAAGTTTCCGCATCTTAAGCGAATCCTAATACTTGCATCGTTCCGGACAGTCGGCGCTGAAGTAAATCTCAGTAAACAAACCTAATTTTAGTCTAATAGAAGTATATATGTATATATTGGCATAGCGATTAACATAACCTGTTCTGGCAATTCACCATATCAAAGTAATTGAACCGGGTCTAGTACCAACTACTAAGCTAAGTTTAAATTCTGTCTAGACCAGGTCGCCGAGCTTTGCTATCGAACAGCCTTTTATTCGATTATACAGCTGATCGTACTTCCAGGCAATTGTAAAAGATAATAATATTTAATTATTGCTAATGTCGGGCAACTTTTATTTACTGCAAAAAAGAAATCCCCTTCACTCTATTGAAATTGTTAATGTATTCGAAAGAAGCTTCCACATCTTTCTTATTTATTTCTCGAGCTTGAGAAGATATATTAAAACATTTGTTCCTTTAGTGCCACGTTACATAACTTTTATTATGACAAATATATTTTTTCAATAGTGTCATGAATAGCTTTAAGCCCAAGCTGACTTGATGAGCGCCGCGGAATCCAATTATCGCCCTCATAAATCGCAAGCTACAATAAAATATTAAGCAAGCACTTATTATTCTGTCGCCTACTCTGTCATTAATACTTAGTTTACTGGCCTATTAGCTATAAAGGTATATAATATCATCCATTAAAACGTCAATTACAGCTACTTAAAACGTCATGACAAGACAAAGTGATGCGTTAGAAATGAATTCAAGTTATCTGCAAAGAATTGCTCGGCTTGCAGATACCCCATAGTTTATGAGACTTATGCATTCAGCATTATTGTTATCGTCCTTATCACTGTTTTCATTATCTTCATAGTCAACATCATCAGCATCATCGTCATCTTATCAATGCTTAGAATTGTAAATACACTATAATATACAAACCCGATTTTTGTGTTTATCACAATTATCATAGTCGCTAGCTCTATGATCATTATCATCAACGTTTCAACTTACCGCCCTGAAAAACTTTTATTTTGACTTAGCTAGACTTTTGCTTGAGATAGAAAACACTTTTAATATTTAAACTTATGCATAATATAATTTTATTTTAGGTGATTTACACAACAATAGAAAACAATTTGATAGCAAAGAGAAAACGTGCAATAAACGTGTTTTGACTCATTTTACAATTGTGTCCTAGCTAATGACATTGATAAAATTGCGAATTAATAAATAAATTAGATGGTAATAGTTGTTCAATAAAAGCACACAACATAAAATATTTTTGACAAATTGTAGGAAATATTTTCGAAAAAGACCCGTTACGATTTACAGATTTTTGTTTTTTTTTTTTTAAATTGTTTACGGTTTCTCAGTTCACAGCCCTATAAGTAATATGTAGTTTAAAATATATGTATAGGTATAGGTATAGGTATATGTATATGTATATGTATATGTAAATGTATGTGTGTGTGTTTAAGTTATATAATAATTATTATCAATTACAGTACACTGAACTTAACTCTAATTTCGATGCCACACGTTTATCTTTTGCCTAGGCATTTTACAGTTATGTTTTTCTATGTTTATGGTTTACTTTTGCTATGAAAATCTGTCTTTGCTTTTTTTGGCATTCATCATGCTGAAATAATTATGCTATGAAATTGTATTACACTAATTCCCAAGTTTTCGGCTTTGAGGCAACCGGCGACAAAAGCGAGACCCGATTTCTGATATGATGAACTATGTGATGGGAGAATAGGGTCTATGCACTGTTTGCGACGGGATGGCTTATTGCTATAATCGGGGCAGACTTGAACCGAATGCTAGCTGATGATCACATGACCACTATTGGTATTGTCCACATTGCTGCTGTGGCAATTCAGCTCGTTGTTATTACTGCTGAAACCAACCTCCTCGCTGCCATCGGAATCAGTGCAGAACAGTAATGGCTACGCGTCCTCACCGTCCATGATATCTGCATCTGTGTCGGTATTGGTGGCAATTCTGCAAAGGGAAGATCATATGAAATGGAATGAATGACTGCATGACTGGATGTCTGTGTGTGTGAGTGTGTGTATATATATGATAAGTAGCAATTGGGTAATACGAGACGGGGTCCAGCATATGCTCTTAATGATCTGAGTCGAATCGATTACAAATTCAAAAACTATAGAAGAATTTGAGATACCCTACATAGAGCTACATTCTATATAATACCGTTACTGTCTACAAGAATTTGTTGTTAGTAAAGCTTAGGAAAACAACATCACATAAAGAAAGGAACTACATTCTACAAACATAAGTACACATATTATCGATTAGGCTTTGGACTTTAAAGGAACGCAGTACACAAAGTAAAAGACAACTCGAAACAGCCATGCATATACCACAGCGTTGATAGTTGATGAGATATATTCTTTATTGTGAGAGTGAGGTAGGGTCAAATAGGTGTTCCGTTCGTTTTTATTTCTTAGCTAAAGATATATACAAATTAGTTGAGCTACTTATGAAAATACATTGCTTTCGTTATATATGTAAAAGTACGTTATTTCATTACTATAAATACTTAAGTCTACAGAACTATCGTTACTTATCCAATTAGAGTTAACATCACTTTGATATAGGCAAACGATATAAAAGAAATAATAGCTTTATTATGTACAATCAAATCTAAAAATAAATATAAACAATTAAGAGGCGACATTTCTTTGCAGATTATTAAAGGAGCTTATGGAGATTCCAGTATCGTTCAACGTCAGCTCGCTATATAGAGGATGCCATCCATATGTCGTTTGGTTGGGTTGGGTTCGATGTTGCCCCCATTAGTATAAATGGATAAACAGATTTGCCGGCACGTGCAGCAGAGAATTTCCACAGATTTAAATAAACAATTGAAAACCGCATTGAATATTCGGTTAAAAGAATATTTTGTTATATGTTTTTTTTCTTTTTAAGATGCGTCAAACTGTCGAAATGCTAATTAATTTTCTTGGCCATTTCAATATGGTACCAAACAATCTTCTTTGACTTTATTTGCATGTTGAGCAGTTTTTTCGGGTTGTTTATTTTTTTTGTGTGCTTGCCAATCGCAAACTTTTTAAAAAAATGTTGTACCAATGCCAAGAAAATCATTTGTCAATTTTAAAATAATATTATTTCGCACAGTTTTCAATTAGCCGAAATTTACAGATCAGTCAATCCAGTAGTTTATTTTTATTTTTGCAATTTTTTGCAGTAGAAGTCAACGTCACACAGATTATAACAGTTGAGTGGCGTACAGTATAAGAGTAGAATAGCGTGTGCATGTGTGTGTATTTGCATTTAGTATAAGACACACAGAACAGTGTTGGAAAAGAAATGGGGGTAGTCACGCACACACATATAATAAAAGAGAATTTTATGATACAGATAAATAAACAGGAAATAAAATTAGCAACACGTTTTTCGATGATCGAAGTTTTATTTTGTTAAATTAGCCACGCCCTTTGAATATATGCCAGGGATGAGACTTATACCAAAATGCCAATTATGTATGTTAAATGTAAATAAATCCAGCCGGAACTTAATCAAAGCTTTAGTTAAACTTTTCGCTTCATTGCAATATGCGAGTTGCAGCTTAAATACTATCTTATATCTAGGAAATACCATAAATCAAAAGGCAAGAATTACTTTTTCCTACAAAATACTAATAAATGCAAACTTTATTTATTCAAACTAAGCGCACTAGCTTATATTATTAAGCCTGATAATAGCGATTGTGCGAGCATTATGTGACCATAATATCAACACCATTACGACTTACCAGAAACTTATAAATAATTTGATTTAAGATATGAACTGCAATTGGCTAGAATCAGACAGCTTAGTGTATTGTAAATTCTTGTTGATGAATTGTTAGTGTTGTAAAGCGTGTGATGTTAGTGTTAATATCACAAATGTGGCTTCCTAAAGTTAATTACTGAACCGTAGCCAACAACACGCATAAAGCATTATTGAGCTACATTTTCCGAAACTGTATGAAGAGGTTTGTCAGTAGTGTTAGTTTTATCGCCTATAACTAAGGCGACATCACTGTGAATAATTAAAAGAATAAGAGCATACGCATATGTTTTCGATTAAGTATTAGTCAACAGTTACAAGTATTATAAAAAAAGAGAGTGAGAGAGAGAAAGAAAAAACAGTGGAACTAAAGATTAGTAAAAGCGAACAGTAGACAGCGTTTAGAGGGCTGGGGAAGTAGAAAAACCAATTGATATTAGGATAGTACAGACCAGAGTTAAATTTATAGATTAGTTACCCATATAAAGACGTAGGCAGTGAATGTGTGAATGTATGTGTGTATATGTATTTAAGCAATGAGTGAGCTATTATGCGTGAACATACCTGGCGTACGTAGAGTTGGCATTCTTTATCGAAAAACTATTCTGGCTTGGTAACACCCAACGTTGCACCCACTGTAAAGGGAAAAACATCAGGTTAGATGAAATTGTCTTTGGCGTTTGACATCTAAAGCTCCACTAAGTGGTGCCCAATAGTCACGTAAATTGATAAAGTTCAACATGATAACTACAATTTATGACTGACTATTTAAAGAGTTAATGCTTCTAGTCACGGCTATTGATAAACAATTGCTGATTTTCTCAACAACTTACCCGACTATTCATCAGCCACTTGTTGCCCATGCACGCGGCCATATGTATCACAAGATATATAACAAAAAGTATATATAATATAGCAAATACGCCTACAAGAACAAAGAGAGAATCATTAATTAGTCAAGTATATAGGTAGCCGTTAAGACTTGGGCCACTCACAGACTAGTGCCAGCATGCCGCCTTCAATTTGAAGCGTTTCCACCTGAGATACGACAAAGTACAAGTTAACGCCAATAACTACGATGGTTAGCAAAATGGACACGATTTTGTTGCCGCTGCAAAAAAAGAAAGATGCATAAGTATTTATATATATCAATTTAAATAAATTTTGAATATAAAAAGAAAACAGGTTTTTCGTAATTAATGCAACACTTCGTATGTGACTTTAAGCTGCCCATCAGACTCTTTATCAAAGGAACTATAAAATTCCGTTAACCTACTTGTTAACAATTGTACTCATACTCTAATTGATGTTACTCTTTTCACTACTCAC